GGTACTGCACCGGCAATTACCCGATATTGATTCGATAAACAATGGAAAACGATTACTCAGAGTAGCTGGCCGCTAGACTTCTCGTGTCAGCGGTTGAATTCGACTTATCTAGCTGGCTTGTGTCGAAAATACGTCAACGTCGGGGTTCGAACCTTTAGACCTCCCGTTCAATTCTGCTACAAAGTCAACTATTTTGCTGCGGAGCCATCGCAGACGGATTGGAGCCTTGGTAGCTGAAAAAGCCAGTGAGCGGTCCGCTACGCTATGATCGCCCATTTTTCCGCACTTCAATAGAGAAAGCGGCCATTACACCTCTAAAGACATTAAATCGTCATCTCGCCAGCAGTGGAAGAGTTCCCCGCACGAGAAGTAGGGCGTTATGGAAATTTCCTCCCACGAAAGTGAGGCAAGAAGTGGACAGGAAGAGAAAACTTTGGCGGCAGTCAACGACCGCTTTAAAAACGAGCTGAAAAACAAGATAAGCTGGTGCGGTTCGAAGTAAATACGAAAAGATTTTGAAGAAGACATTTGTAATGCTGTATCTACTCGTTCACAGGTCCCTGGCGTTGTTGACCTAAAAGTCTTTCTAAATGGTGTGTAAAATGATAGCAAAATAACATGATTATCGTATTCTCTAATCGCTTTATCGCCTTTGTGGAAGTTTAAATATGACAGAAATGTTTTCCGTTCAGTAAATACTTTCGATGATACGTCCTTATTACGGTATAACAACAGTGCGTAAAAAAGCAATTGGGCGTAAACCAGTAGTCCCGAATCCGAATTACTGCCAGAGTGACTAATTATTTAATCAATGCACTTGCAAAGTAATATTAGGTCTATAGTTCAATTAAAGGTAATGTCAACTGCGATATGAGCAATAAACCGTTCAAATTATTTAGGACCGTGGCATTTGCCATATGAAGAAGATTTTGAATCAGAATGGTTGGTGGCTTTGCCATTGAAGAATTTCAATGTAAAATGTACCTACCCTTCGGTTTCACGGACGGGAGATCACCACTAATTAAAAACTCATTCATGGAAAAATGCCTAACTCTTTGTCTTTGATTGATTTTCTGTTGTAATGTGCTGGTTTGCACAGACCTGCTCAATTTGCTTTCTATTCGAAAACCCTTAGTTTTTTAAATATAAAGATTAATGCTGAAATACTATATGTTATTAGTGTCCTCAATATTAATATTTAAGTAACATTAGTGAGTCTGCCGTCTTTCACAGTTAAAATTGTTGTGTTGTTTTTTTTGTCTTCAAAATTTGTTCTCACATGTGAGTGAGAAGAAATTCTGCTGAAAAAAACATATATTTCTTTCGCGCAGTTTGGTTAAGGACCCGATAATTAGTTAATGTTAAAATGATATCAAAGTGATTTGTAACAAAAATTATGTTGATGCAATAATTAGTATGATGTGTTCAGAAATATTTGCTGTAGTGTCTAAAGATCATCTCAAGGAATTGACGATCACAAGTACTTTTGTAACTATTATTTCAATTTTGGTTTTATAATGTACATGTGAGTAAAACAAATCAATGTCATTCCAATGTCTTGGAATTTCGTAGGCTATATTATATTCCTAAAATTTATAAACAATTTAAATTCTTAAAAAAATCAATAAAGAAAAAACATCTATAAATGATTCAACAACTTGATATATTATTCCACATTTTAAAGGTCGGAAAATGAAAATAATGACAAACTATCGCTATCAGTTATCATAATCAATCGTTCATCAGCTTTCATATCAATCGTTATCATAAACATGACAATCGGGATGAGGATAGGGAGGGAAAATAAGCTGTTCTATGTCTTATGGATTTATGTTTAATGCAGAGCTCCTGTATGTGTCTGGAAGTCGTCGAAGATAACCACTGATTGAAGCAGTCCTGTCTGTCGAATTGTTCACAAATACTTCGAAGGCCGCGGAAAAGTAAAAACATTTCGAGTTTTCTGGCAAAAGTGTCTGAATGCTACCATACACGGTTTTGAAATCAAACTATACTACACCACTTTGTGTTTCAATCGAAGAGCATTTAATTTCCTTAGCAATTGACATTGATTGATTATTAATTGTTTCGTATGTTTTTTTATAAAAAGATTGAAATACTTCGCGTTATGCAGGAGACTGACCAAGAACGAATGACTTACCGCAGAAACCGCCCCCCCCCCCGTGCATTGGCATTCTCCTGACAGAAAAGTGTTGAATGCAAACCGGCAAATGACCTCCAGCTTTTACGCAATGCATCGTTTATACACAATTAGAGCAGGAGAAGGCGAGAAATATTTTTACAAGAAATCTGCTCAAAACGTTATACCAGTAAAATATAGCGTGTATGAAGTGTATTTCATTTCATTCATTTGTCCCATTGTAACAGATTTCAGAAAATAATAAAACAAAATCCATATCTTGTTACATCTCATCTTTGAGTTATTATTGTCTCAGGGCACTTAGTCCCGAAAGTATTAAGTATGTAAAGTCTTTGGAAGTGGCGGTATGCTTTCTCTCTGGAACTTGCGATCAGCCGCCGACGATTACGCCAGTTTGCGGGCATTTCCCCTTCAAGAAAATACCCTGCGGCACACCGCATTAGCCGACACAAGCTTTTAGCTTTCGACTGGTCTCTTTACTGAGTTGTTAGTGCAGTTCCTCTGACCCGGAGATCCTTGGTTCGAGTCCCGACGGTGGCAGGAATTTCGACAATAGCATATCAGCTAGGTCGAATTCAATCACTGTCGGGAGGAGAATTCTAGAGGCTGGCTGCTCTGATCTGCTCAGTGGTTTCTACGATTGACACCCGACAAATGCTGGAGCAATATCCTAACAAACGGGACACGGACCAAGCGTGATCTTGCGTTCCTCTTTCTTGTCCCCTTCCTTGCTTAAACACACTTACACTAACATTCACTACACTACCACATCCGCCAGGATATCGGTAGGGAGCTTAGAGCTTGTCCAGACTGGGACGGTGCCCCGCAAATGGGAGATACCTGGTAGTGAAAAACCCGCATGCCGACGGTAGGTCTGCGCCGGTTCTTTCTCTCTAACAGGGAAAGATCTCCGTCCCCTCTCAAAGAAAAACACGCACCACACTTACGAGACTAATGACCTTACCAGTTGACTTGCACGGAATCACTAACAATCAATCAATCATACTTGTGTGATAATGTGTTGCATGTAAGAGTAAGTGTGCGTGAAAGGGGGAGGAGGGGCCAAGGTTGAGGAAGGAAAGTAAGTTCACGTGGGTACTGCCCCGGAATTCGCCTGGTGTTGATCTTCGCCAATAGCTTCCTCGCGGTTTTCGTTCTGCCAAGAGGGGTACGATTATTAAGACGTCTTCATTGAGTTTTCTGACCCAACGATTGTGAAATAATTTCTCCCAGGAGAGAGAGTGTGAAAGAGAGTGAGAGAGAAAGAGAGTGTGAGAGAGAAAGAGTGTGTGAGAGAGAAAGAGTGTGTGAGAGAGAAAGAGTGTGTGAGAGAGAAAGAGTGTGTGTGAGAGAGAAAGAGTGTGTGTGAGAGAGAAAGAGAGTGTGTGAGAGAGAAAGAGAGTGTGTGAGAGAGAAAGAGAGTGTGTGAGAGAAAGAGAGTGTGTGAGAGAGAAAGAGAGTGTGTGAGAGAGAAAGAGAGTGTGTGAGAGAGAAAGAGAGTGTGAGAGAGAGAAAGAGAGTGTGAGAGAGAGAAAGAGAGTGTGAGAGAGAGAAAGAGAGTGTGTGAGAGAGAAAGAGAGTGTGTGTGTGTGAGAAAGAGTGTGTGTGTGTGAGAGAGAGAAAGAGAGTATGTGTGAGAGAAAGAGAATGTGTGTGTGTGAGAAAGAGAGTGTGTGAGAGAGAGAGAGAGAGAAAGAATGAGTGTGTGTGTGAGAAAGAGTGTGTGTGTGTGAGAGAGAGAGAAAGAGAGAGTGTGTGCGTGTGTGTGAGAGAGTGTGTGTGTGTGTGTGAGAAAGAGAGTGTGTGCGTGTGCGTGTGAGAAAGAGTGTGTGTGTGAGAAAGAGAGTGTGTGCGTGTGTGTGAGAGAGTGTGTGCGTGTGTGTGAGAGAGTGTGTGCGTGTGTGTGAGAAAGAGAGTGTGTGTGTGTGAGAGAGAGAGTGTGAGAGAGAAAGAGTGAGAGAGCAAAAGAGGTGATTAACTAACATGTGACCAGTACTAGTATGTGAAGTGTAATACATTGCTATAGCGAAGCATTGCTGGGTCCACTGGCAATTCATAAATGTTAAATAAATTAAACTTTCTTAAAGTTGACATTCATATTTGCCCATTGTTTAATTTTTTCGTTTTTTCTCTTCTCCCGAAGTCGATTCGGATAATTGGAGCAATTCTCGGAGTCTTTTTTGTTTCCCTTAGACCGATTTCTGGCGTGCTTCAATGCACACGCTCGCGCACCCTCCTACTCACGTGCTTGCCTCGAAAACGCGATAAGGTGAGACCGCTCAATACGGGCCGATTGGAAGCGGGCAGTAGTCCCTGTTGAGTCTTTAGACAGCGGACAACGCTTTTATTGAAACAAATTATTTTTTCCCTCGTATTTGAATTGGATCATGGTCCAAAATCATAAAGACATTTTTTACTAATGAAATGACCTAAGATTTAATATGAAGCGGATTTCTATGATTTTGCATATTTTTGTTCGTTGCTAAGAGAAATTTCTTGACATTGGGGTAGAATTGTATTCTACACAGATTAATATGTTAGTACATATTTATTGCAAACGTGGCTTATTTTTCCAGAAGAAAATATGGCGATGAAGAAGAAAGATAAAGAGCTGAAAGAGAGAAGGAGATGAGAGATTAAAAATGATAAGAAGATGGGAGATGAAGAAGGAGGAGGATGAGAAGAAAGATGGAGGGAAAAATGACATAGCAGGAAGTTGAAGAATAAAGAGAAGGTGGACGAGGAGGAAGGGAAAAACAAGAAAAGGAGCAGGAAGGTGAAGGAGGGGAAGGAAAGAAAGGAGGAAAGAGGAAGAGAGAGTAGGAAAATGAAGGAAAAGGAGGAGGCGAGGGAGGAAGAAGAAAGAGGAGGAGGAGGAGGACGAAGAGGAGGAGGAGGAGGACGAAGAGGAGGAGGACGAAGAGGAGGAGGAGGAGGACGAAGAGGAGGAGGAGGAGGACGAAGAGGAGGAGGAGGAGGACGAGGAGGACGAAGAGGAGGAGGACGAAGAGGAGGAGGACGAAGAGGAGGAGGACGAAGAGGAGGAGGAGGAAGAGGAGGAGGAGGAAGAGGAGGAGGAGAAAGAGGAGGAGGAGGAAGAGGAGGAGGAGCGCGCGGGCAGTCGGGCGTGCCGGCTGGTTGTTGGGATCGGCCCACAGCGCGGCGGCGCAGCTGGCCCCCCGCGGCGCGGCGCGGCGCGGCCGGGCCTGGCCTGGCCTGGCGCGTCGGGCTGCCGCTGCTCGTGGGGAAGGTCGCGTGCTCAGCTGAGCGCCGATAGCCCCGTGACGTCGAGGGCCACGCCGCGGGGCTCCGACCCCCGCGACCCTTCCCCCGCGGCGCGCCGCCGATTTGCAAATCGCACCATTGCACGAGCGTTTCGGCCCGTTGCGCGAATCTCGCACTGGGCCCTCGGCGGTGGCATCGGCGGGCGGAAAGACACGGCCTGGTTTAAGTGGTTCAGCGATCGCCAGGTCGCGGGTTCGACCTTGGCAGGGTGTTAGATATTTACTAGATGGGTTTCACATCGGTGAGTTTGTGGAGCCTATTGAAATCGAATTTGTGGGCTGACAGATTTCATCAGATCACTTCCAAGCGAATTCCACGGCAGCATCCCATAAAACGGGCCACGGGCTGCACGAAATATTTCTTTCGTATTCCCATCCTCCTCCTCCTCATTATCATCATTTTCACCGGCTTAGATGCCTCAGGGCATCAGCTGACGTCACTGCAGTGTCTCTGACCGAGAGGTTTTAGGGTTCAAGTCTTCACGGTGGCAGGATTTTCGATACTAGCTACCTAGCTGGGTCGAATTCAGCCGCTGTCTAAAGGAGAATTCTAGCGGTCGGTTGTTCTCATGGGTAGTTTTCCGTGGTTTCTCCGATCAACACCAGGAGAACGCCAGAACAGTACTCTAACGAACGTACCACGTACCGCGCGCGATTTTTCCTTCCCCTTCCTTGTCCTATTCCCGGCCGTTACTTCCACACTCTTACATTTACTTCCACCACACTAACACACATGCAGGGAAACCAGTTGAGAGCTTAGAGCTTGTTCCGGATGGGGGTGTGCCCCGCTAGTGGGAGATACCTGGTTAGGGAAACCCCGCTAGCCGACGTGTAAGTTGGCGCCGAATTGCACCATTCAGTGGGAGATAACAGCACTTCCCACACTTAAACATACACTTACGGGAGTTGTTATCTTAGGAGATGCTTCGCCCGGAAACACTAATCAATCAATCAATCAATCATTATCTCCTCAACTGTAGAATTTTAGACTCGGTTCCGTGGGGGGAGGGGAACGATCCTTCCTCATGGGTACGTTTCTTCCCATAATAACTAAAATTCCTTAGCGAAGAAGCCTTGCGGACATTTGAATTGTGTTTGACTAACGCTAGGAAAAAAAGAAGTACGAACCTCTTCCTCGGGATCAAGGTCGGATGATCACAGACTTTCCCAGGTATTGAGTGAAAAATGTCGTGGGTAACCAAAACTGTTTATGCGTTGTAGGTAAGGTGGGGTAAAAAATTATACGAAGTCTTCTTGACTGTCAGAATGTGACCTGAACAACACCTGTGCGTACGAGGTTGCCTAGTATTCAGGGGCACTCTCGTACCTGTAACTCCATAACACGAAATTTTCCACTACATATTCATTAGGAAAAGTTATCTTTTTGAAACCCTAGAAGTTCCCTAGAAGTTTATGCATTTCTTTTGTGTTACTCTGTATATGTTAAATAGAAATTAAAATTTTACACACGAACTTTTCTTGAATGGTACTCATACTTATAAAAATAAGAATAAAAAACATGAGATTCATAGTCATCATATGCCTTCGTAGGTCTTATATATGGTCGCACATTAAAAGCATTTAATTTTTTGCCATTTTTTACCTCCCGCATATGTAAAGAATTTCGAACCCTCCCTTGTGAAAGATGTCCAAAATCTCTTTTGTATAATTTTTATGTCTTTTTTACACTTAGTAAACAACTGGTAGTGTCAGTGGCCCTTCTGTTTTAACCAGGTACTGGGAATTTAAACACTGAACTTCGAAGGAAAGATATTGAGTTGTTGCAATAATTCAGAATAACTTCCAAAACTTTGCATTTTTTCCCAAAATCTTCATACATTAGAGATTATACGGATGTGTAAATATTGATTTCGTTGCATCACTTACAAATCGTCTACAAATCTTACGTCTTATTTTCGTTCTCAAAATTTACATTAGGAAAATTCTTGCATGTAATTTAAATTAAAGAAAATAATTGAAATCGCCAATGATTTATCATTCATTAGGACTGTAGTGTATTAAATAATTATGTTAAATGTATTACAATTTTTTGTATTATACATATGGGAGTGGGGAATAGGATGTAGTTGTTAAGATATTTCTAGAAAAAATTCCCATCACGTTATTCAGGGTAAAATGCTGATGGTTCTATGCATAGGGAGGTTACGCTGGAACATTAGTGGTGATATTTGGTCTTTTTGTAGTGTGTAATTGTTATATTACAGCCAAGATGGTTTAATAAAATCCTCGAGACGTAATTTAGTTCAAATGTAAACAAATTATTCAAATCGACTAGGGAATTTTACCAATGAAAATGAATAGACGACCCAAGGAGGTAAACATTCTTGAAATACATCAGTCATACAAGGTTCTGCTTTCCTACCGGGGGTATATCTCTACGAGACTCTCAGTCAGATTGTAAATGCTTTCAATGAGACTCAAGCGGATGATTCCCAGATATTCCTTGTATTGTACATCAGGTTGGCTTCTCTTGGTTTCTCAGATTTACGTCACTGATATTTGTAATGAGATGTGCGACCCAAAGTTGAAACAATGTGGTGGTTTTTACTCTTCTGTGTACTGGATTTTAATCTCGACCACATTGTATGGTGTTTGTGGTACTTGTTTTTATGAATAAAAAAGCAGATTCGTGGCAGTTATTTTTGTGGGTTCTGCCATTTCCCTGCCTTCCAATCGACGATTGGCCCAATACCTATCATTCTTATCCACCATTTTCAACTATCCATCAATTCATGCACCATCCCCAGCAAGACCAATCAAGGTCAGAGGCGGGAATCGCTTCAACAAATTCGATGCTCTCATACTTTTCCGACAATAATTAGTTGCCTACTCATTCGCATCATACCGTCATGATTTCTTATTATAACTCCCAATACCTAAACAACCGAACCACATTTCTTGGCCACCGTTCTTTCAAAAAAACACATATTGTATTTCTGTTCCATATGTAACCGAAAATGTTAACGATTTTTTGAAGACAAATAAGTAAACAAAATGTCCGTACAGATCCAAACACATATAATAATTAATTTGATTTTAAAGATTCACGCATTACTTATTCAATGTTCAAATACTTGCAAATAATTCTAAATAATATTGTTAAATTTTTATTATTAATAATGTGGAAATAAAAATTCTATTCTGGTGAGGTTTTGTTAATTTTAAATTTTCGGTAACACTGTAATGGCAGAATCAAGGCCAGAATCTCTTATTCTATCTGCCTTCATAGCAACGGGTTATAAACGTGACGTAAAGATTTCCCATTGTTGCCCCAGTATCTGTAAAAAACTAATATCGTAACTTCACGTGAACATATCGTTGTTCTAGCGATAACTAGCAACGAGGTTGTAATGCTCCCCTCTGACGTCATGAGATAGCACAGAGAAGTCGCGCGTAGTGCACGTAGTAATCTTTTTTTGTAGTTTCTTCATAGTTGACGTAGCACTAAAGGCTAGAGTTCATCTTTAGAATACTTTCCGCATGACACAGTATTCTGGGTACACAAGAGTGGCCGTTACTTGTGGCAAAACTGATCTTTTTACTTGGCCCCAAAATCTTTCTGTAAATGCAAAAACAATGAGGGAGAGGAACAAAAAATATAATTTGAAATAAAACGACTAGACTTGGCAAATATTACATTTTTAGCTCATAATATGGCTTTTATGGCGACTCGCAGAATGTTCGGGAACCAATTTTTAAGTTAAAATGAGGAGGGATTAGAAAAAAATATTTTGAAATTATTGTGAAAAGGTACAGTTTCAAATATTAAATCAACTAGGAAATGTTCTCCTTGAAATATATACAGAATTGTCTTCTGAAATGTAGTAAAGGAGAGGTGAAGGAACAATTCAGCAACAGTGGTAGGTTACTCTCTTCAACTATTTCATTTCGAGAATTGCTGATGACCTTACGATGAATCTAACCGGTGGGAGGTAATGTCGAAAAACGACTGCAATGGGAGTAGGAGGATATAAGGCATCTCCTACACTACAATACACAGTTCAGAAACGGGCACGATCCTCATCATAGGCGTCAATAAAATCCACCCGCTAGCAAACCTCCAGCTATGTTTCAAAAGGCAGGCAGGGGGCGGAAGGCAGAAACTGCAGCTGCGCGAGGCACCCGGGAACGAAGCGGTGACGCAGGAGACGGGGCGGGGGGGGGGGCCAAGAGAGAGATTTCATCACAATTCGATGCTCTCAATACTTCCGACAATAATTAGTTGCCTACTCATTCGCATCATACGTCATGATTTTTCTTATTTATACACTCCCAATTACCTAACAACCGAACAACACATTTCTTGGGCCACGGTTCTTTCAAAAAACACATTATTGTATTTCCTGTGTTTTCCATATGTAACCGAAAATGTTCAACGGTTTTTTTTTTTGAAGACAAATAAAGTAAAACAAAAATGTTCGTAACAGATCCACAACATATTAATTTTTTTATTGTGATTTTAAAGTATTCAACGCATTAACTTATTCAATGTTCAAATACTTGCAATATATTCTAAATAATATTGTTAATTTTTATTATTAATAATGTGGAAATGAAAATTCTATTCTGGTGAGGTTTTGTTAATTTTAAATTTTCGGTAACACTGTAATGGCAGAATCAATGCAGCAATTGCTTATTCCTATTGCCTTTTCATAGCAACGGGTTATAAACGCTGACGCTAAGATTTCTATTGTTTGCCCAGTATCTGTAAAAAACTAATATCGTTAACTTCACGTGAACATATCGTTGTTCTAGCGATAACCAAGGCAACGAGGTTTGTAATGCTTTCCCACTCTGAGTCATGAGATAGGCCAGCAGGAGAAGTTGCCGGCGTAGTGCACGTAGTAAATCTTTTTTTTGTAAGTTTCTTCATAGTTGAGTAGCAACTAAGGTAGAGTTCAATCTTTGAATACTTTCGCGCGCATGAACAACAGGTATTCTGGTACACCAGAGTGGCCGTACTTGTGGCAAAACTGGATCTTTTTACCTTGGCCCCAAGATCTTTCTGTAAAGCAAAAACATGGGGAGAGGAACAAAAAATTATAATTGAAATAAAACGACTAGAATTGGGAAATATTTACATTTTTAGCTCATAATATGGTTCTTATGGCGACTCGCGAATGTTCGGGGAACCCACCTTTTTAAGTTAAAAATGAGGAGGGATTAGAAAAA